GATACTGGGCTAGTAAGAAAACCATAACAGATATGGTATACTGTGGAAATATACTATATTTAATGTAAATATCTGATAGTTATTATAGGATCTGATATATTAGGAAATCTTTTATTTTATTCTCCCTATCCCTTATTTCTTGGCCATATATCTCGGCTGACATCATGGTCTGTATGTGTATATGTATGCGTCCTCCCACTGTACAGTAAATTCAGTTTTTTGCTCAGTAATTCTTCATGGTATCAGAGCTCGAAGAAGAACGAGCAACTGAATCATCAGAGATGAACATGGACTCGAGCTTTCAGCCTGAGACTCACCGAAATACAGAGTCGATTGGCTTGGAGAGTTCGTCCGGTGCGAGCTCATGTCAAGTCGCACACCTCGTGACTGGCCAAGAGAGCTCGCTCGTCTCTCTCGTCTCAGAAAAACTCACCGGCGTCAACTACCGAGAATGGGCCCAAACAGTGTGGCTCGCGGTAGAAGGTCGTGGCAAATGGGGGTATGTTTCCGGTGAAACCCAGTGTCCAGAGGCAACAAATGTCAAGGCTCTCAGGCTCTGGAAGACCGAAAACTCAATGGTATGCTCATGGCTGGTTAGTTCAATGGCACCGACTGTGAAAAAGAGTTTTTTATTTCTCCCAACAGCTCGTGAGATATGGGACGCTGTGAAGGAGGCATACTCAGATGGGGAGAATGCTTCTCAAGTGTTTGAGATTAAATCCAAGCTATGGCTCGTAAAGCAAGGTAATCGTGACCCAAGTGAATATTACCTGGAAAAAACTGCTCTACGGCAAGAACTTGATCTGATTACTGCTGAAGAATGGACCAGTTCTGAGGATGCTGCTCGGTTTAGAAAACGGCTGGAGAAAGAACGACTGTATGAGTTGCTAGTCGGACTTAATTCAGACTTGGATGATGTTCGTGGCAGAATTTTGAGTTTGGAACCTTTGCCATCTGTCCGTGAAGCCTTTGCAATGATCCGGAGGGAGTACTCTCAAAGGAAGGTAATGTTGAAAGATGAACCCATTTCTCAAACCAGTACTTTTGAATCATCTGCTCTTGCTGCCAAGTCTAATGATCCTAGAAGCACTAAAGGACGTCCCACGTGTGAACATTGTAAGAAAGTGGGCCACACAAAGGATAAATGCTGGGACCTCCACGGTAAGCCACCCGACTGGAAGCCAAGAAAGGGAAAAGGTCGTGGATATATTGCTGAAAGCTCTACGGGAGATGATAATTCACAGCCCTCAAATGATCAACTAAGTAAGATCATTGAAATGCTGTCAACCCTGCAAACTAATAAGCAACCTATTGCTACTATGGTACAAAGAGGTAATTTTTCTAAAGCCTTGGCTACTATTAAACGAGTATGCACTGGAGATTGCTGGATAGTAGACTCAGGCGCATCGGATCATATGACTGATAATATTAAATTATTTACGACCTATGTACCTTGCCAAAAGAACTTTACAGTCAAGATTGCCGATGCATCAGAGTCGGTCATCTCTGGTATAGGGAGTATACAACTCTCATCTACTTTAACCTTACATCACGTTCTGCATGTGCCTAATTTAAAATGCAGCTTACTCTCAGTAAGTAAATTGGCAAAAAATGAGAAATGTCATGTTGATTTCTTTGCTACTTATTGTCTTTTCCAGGATCTACTGACGGGGATGACGATTGGCAGTGCTAAGGAATTTGATGGTCTTTACTACCTAGATGGAAATAAAGTCGGTAATGTTAGGTCATGCAATAAAGTGTCTCTCCGTAAGACTAGTGAGTTGGAGTTGTGGCACAATCGTCTTGGTCATCCTAATTTCAATTATATGTCAAAAATGTTTCCTTTAATTTGCAATAAAAGAGATTATTCTCAGCTCTATTGTGACTCTTGTGAAAAAGCAAAACATCATCGTGTTTCCTTTCCTAATCAGCCATACGTTGCATCAAAGCCTTTTACAATCATTCACAGTGATCTATGGGGGCCCTCTCAGGTCCCTAATAGGACTCACTCAAAGTGGTTCATCACCTTTATTGATGACCATTCTCGCGTTACTTGGGTGTTCCTTCTAAAAGACAAATCTGATGTTTCTCAGGTGTTCATTGATTTCTATCATATGGTAAAAAATCAGTTTCACACGTCTATTCAAACTCTTCACACTGATAATGGCACAGAATACTTCAACAAACATCTCTCCACTTTTTTACTTTCCAATGGAATTGTTCACAAAAGTACCTGTCCTTACAGTCCTCAGCAGAATGGTATTGCTGAAAGGAAAAATAGGCACATTCTTGAAACAGCTCGTGCACTTCTCTTTAGTAGCCATGTTCCTAAATATCATTGGGATGATGCTGTCCTAACTGCAACCTTTCTTATTAATCACCTTCCCAATCGCACCTTATCATATAAAACTCCCATTGAAATTCTACACCAAACTTACAATCTACCCTACCTGGAAAATACTTTACCCTTACGGGTATTTGGATGTACTTCCTATGTTCATCTTCATCACACAAACAAACTTGACCCCAAAGCTGTCCGATGTGTTTTTCTTGGTTACTCTGCCACTAAAAAGGGGTACAAGTGCTTTGATCCCACCACCAAACGTATCTTCACCACCTGTGATGTCACCTTTCACGAAACAGAATCCTTCTACTCCCAATCCCCAATCCAGGGGGAGAATTGGAATGAATTGCAGATTGGCATGGGTGAAAACATGAGTGAAATACCTGAAACACCCAATCTTATAGCTGTACCTCATCATTTGTCTCTTGAACCCACTGATCCTGATTTGGACCTAGGAATTGAGAACACCAATACTAGAAGTGATATGCCAAATCCTAGTCCAAAGGAGACGTCCACAACAGGGGGAGACACCAGATTTGCACAGACCTATACACGGAAAAACAAGACAGGTAAACAGACCCATATCTCAAGCATTGACCAAGAGTCAAAACCAAATGTAGGTCCAAAAGACGATAATGGAGGAAGTTTGGAAGAATTAGGAGATAAGGATGATATTGACCTACCGATAGCTATGAGGAAGAAGCCGAGAGCTTGTACTAGGCATCCGATCGAGAGGTTTGTGTCTTATCAAGCATTGTCAGCTAAATTTTCTGGATTTACTGCCCATTTGAACAGTGTTACAGTACCAAAGAGCATTGAAGAGGCTATGGCCGTACCTGAATGGAGACAAGCTGTAATGGAAGAAATGGAGGCATTAATAAACAACAATACTTGGGATGTGGTAGAATTACCTCCAGGAAAGAAAGCAGTTGGATGTAAGTGGGTCTACACACCTAAATATAATGCTAATGGGACTCTAAATAAACACAAAGGGAGACTTGTCGCTCAAGGGTTCTCCCAAGTGTATGGTATAGACTACACGGAGACATTTGCACCGGTAGCCAAACTCAATATTGTTAGAATAATTCTATCACTAGCAGCCAACCTTGATTGGCCATTACATCAATTAGATGTAAAAAACGCCTTCCTAAACGGTGAGTTAAAAGAGGAAGTATATATGAAGTTGCCACCAGGTTCCCAGGAAATAAACCGAATCAAGTGTGCAAATTAAAGAAGTCCTTATATGGACTAAAGCAGTCTCCGAGAGCGTGGTTTGAGAAACTCACACGGGTACTAAAAATGGCAAGGTTCAAACAAGGACAAAGCGATCACACGATGTTCTACAAACACCGAGGCACTAAAATTACTGTTTTGTTGGTTTATGTGGATGATATGGTTCTTACAGGCGATGATGCTGAGGAGATTGAAAATCTTAAAAGGGCGTTAGCTCAAGAGTTTCAGATAAAAGATCTTGGAGAAATGAAGTATTTTCTGGGCATGGAGGTAGCAAGATCCACGAAGGGAATATCTATTTCTCAGAGAAAATATGTGCTAGATCTCTTAAATGAGACTGGCATGCTTGGGTGTAGACCTAGTGATGCACCCATCCGAGTTGACAAGATAAGCAATGAAGAAAATCTTGGCAAGCCTATTGATATAGGCAGGTATCAGTGTATGGTGGGGAAATTAATCTATTTGTCACATACTAGGCCAGACATCGCCTTTGCAGTTAGCATGGTGAGTCAACATTCACGTGACCCCAAGCAGAAACACTTGAATGAGGTCTACAGGATTCTCAGGTATTTGAAAGGTACTCCTGGAAAGGGTTTATGGTTTAAGAAATCTGAGAAGCGTGGTATGGAACTCTACACGGATGCAGATTGGGCAAGTGATCAAGAGGATAGAAAATCTACATCTGGATACTGCCCCTTTGTTTGGGGAAACTTAGTTACTTGGAGAAGCAAGAAGCAAAGTGTAGTAGCCCGTAGTAGTGCAGAGGCAGAATTTCGAGCTATTGCTTTGGGAATCTGTGAAGGTATATGGATTAAAAGGGTGATTGAGGAACTAAAAAAGGATGTTAACCTACCTATCACTCTGTATTCAGACAGTATCGCAGCAATCAGCATCTCACACAACCCAGTCCAACAAGACAGGACCAAGCATGTTGAGATAGATAGACACTTTATCAGAGAGAAGATTGATACTGGCATCATCCAGATGAGACACATACCAACAAGGGAGCAAACAGCTGATGTTCTCACCAAAGGCTTGAATAGAGATAAGTTTGATTATTTCATCCACAAGTTAGACATGATTAACATCTATGGTCCAACTTGAGGGGGAGTGTGGAAATATACTATATTTAATGTAAATATCTGATAGTTATTATAGGATCTGATATATTAGGAAATCTTTTATTTTATTCTCCCTATCCCTTATTTCTTGGCCATATATCTCGGCTGACATCATGGTCTGTATGTGTATATGTATGCGTCCTCCCACTGTACAGTAAATTCAGTTTTTTGCTCAGTAATTCTTCATATACTCAATGTGCCCATGAAGCAACTTCCATAATTTTCTGCAAAACTGATCAACAAATGCCACTTGGACATTCGAAAAAAAAGGGAAAAGGAAAAGGGGGAAAAAGAAGCTGCACCTTTTTGGTTGTTTCTAATGAGGATAGCTGAAGCATTAGCATTTTCAGCATTATTTGCTTTTGTTGTGAATTTACAGTTGCCTCTATCCACCATGATGACATCTCCTGCAAGCTAACAGATTATGCAAAGAGTAAAATTGATAACACTTAGCACTGTGCAACATGTGTGACCAATGTACAAATGGTCATGTTATATATGGGGAAGAAAAACCTTATTCTTTGGTGGACTGCAACAATCTCGAGGGTCTGAAAGAATAAGGCGAGTGTGCCGAGCATTTTTCTCTTTTGAAACAATGGTTGTGCCAAATCTGGCACCCACACCAACAAATTCGGCATCCTCCATACCATTGACCCAAGTTTGCACTTTTACCTGCGGCAAGTAGAGAATGTAGTTCACCATAATAACTACTTGAACCATAAACATAGTCAGTAAACTATTTGGTCTCAAATATCAAATTGGACAAAATAGACAAGCAGCTCAAAAAACGATTACAAGATTACTGCTCAACACAGAAAGCGTAAAGCACAACCAGTGAAGTTGAATCCATGCTAAGAAGTGTCTCACTGACCAAAATTAGGGAAAAAGGAAAAAAGTTAAAAAAAAAAAGGGAGAAAGGAACAAACGACAGCTCATTTCCCAGTGTACAATCCGTGATTCCAAACATTTGTTTTCATGACTGCAGATCACGTTTTCTTCTCCTTTCTCCATATGATACTGCTCGCGATTCAACGTATTAAACATGCACATTTTCATAATTCTCAATTCATCAGAAACATTAACCCAGTCAATCCTTTGAAAAAACAAGCAAATTAAGCAGCACCAGCAGTCTTTCGGTTAAAATCAGAAACAGTCACATAAAGAAAAGAATAATTTGGATATACCAGCACAAACTGATTCTCGCATCCAGGCTTCTTCGGAGTTGAATCATCGTCATGAACTATGTCCCCAGCTATCACAGGGGAAGCATGATGAACCAGAAGAATTAAAGCTGAAACTACAACAACCCAGCAAATCTTCACCAGAGCCATGTGTTCTTGCCAAATCTACTTGATTCATGAATCCATAACCAAACAAGAGCAGAAAAAGAAAACCTTCTGTGGAACTGGGATCAAGAAAACCAAATTTATTTGAGCGGAAGGGTTAAAAAAGAAGAAATAGGAAAAAATATGACTTTTCTAATATAATAGTATTATAACGTTCCAATAGATCAATGACAAGATAACAACAAATATAACAGAAAGACAAAATCAATGAACAGCTGATGGATGCCTCAACGTTACCTGCTGACGACACGGTGTCCCTGCCAAATAGAGTTGGATAATGGATCGGCTGAGGGCTCCACATGGCCTGATCCATAAAACTATGGCTCTTAAATCTAATTTTTTATTTTTTTTATTTTTTTATGTTTAATTTGTATTTAGAAGGTTGAGAATCGGGCCTGCAAGCCATATTTTAAAAAAATTAAAATAAAATTAAATATTAAAAATTAATTAAAATATTTTAAAATTAAAACCATTATAATCTTTAAAAATTTAACACCACACATTTAAAAATTTAGTAATAAAATATAAATTTTAATTAAAAAAAGCAGTTCATTTTTTAAAAATACACAAACATAATAATTATAGAAAAAATAAAAAATATTAAAAATTTTATACTGATATTTATTAAATTATATTAAATTAATTTTAAAATAAATTAAAATTAATAATAATAAAATGCGTGTAGGATCAGGGCTTCAGGTAAGTAAGTTCTTGACTTCAAATGTGTGTTCCACAAAAAAATTAATAATAATATAATACGGTTTGAAGGGTCACCTGAACTCGAGTCTTTTTTTGTAGGGGTTTAAAGGGTCAGGCCCTCAAGCTCAGTTACTTTAAAAAAATTCTTTTTAAAATTTAAATCCTTATTTAAATAGGGCTTTTAAACTAAGTCTTTATTTTTGACTCTACTATTAAGAATCAATAATTCTAGAAAGGAAAAGATTCAATAAATGTATTGTACTTTTTATTTACCATGACTGGTTAAGCATTATATATTAAATACTCTAGCTCATAATTTTGAGGGAGCAAATTTGAATTCCAATTTTTCAAGAATAATCTAAATAAAAGAAACGTGGATAATTATTTTCTAGCTTTGACATTCATTTCGTTGTCTTTATTAAATTTGAGTTCTTTTATTAGAAGCAAGGAAAAAATTACTAGGAAAGAGAACAATTGGTGCTAGGGAATGAGCAAGAATTTATTTTAATTATTGATAGTATATTTATAACTCATTTATTGTATAATTTTTATATTGACTTCTTAATTTTTAATTAGAATACTACCTTAGATCTTATTACTGATTTATATCAACTTAATCCACAAAAGGGAATTAAGGAGTCTTGCTCCTTAAGCTAATAATAAATTTTATATTTTATTTTATTATTGATTTATATCAACTTAATCCACAAAAGAGAACTAAGAGCAAGACTCCTTAAAGTAATAATAAAATATTGGTTTATATCAACTTAATCCACAAAAGGGAATTAAGGAGTTTTTCTATTTAAAGCAATGATTTTAAAATCAGACTGAACAGTTTAATTAGTTTGGACTGCTGGCCAATCCTTGTTTTGGCTTGATTTGAACCTCAATTGTTTTAGCTTTTGAACTAGATTAGGCTGCTTTGAGCTAGTGCTTAGACTGGGATCTGTTAAAAAATCATGAAATGGAGCAGTTTTATGAAAACTAAATGGCTCAATTTTTTTCACTTTGTTCCAATTTTAACCCTAAAAAACCCTCCCTCAATTTTCAAATACTTTAAGAAAGTGAAGATGAATTTTGTTTCAATTTTAATCCTATATCAAAATAATACCTTCGTTTTCATTTTTGGGGGCACCTTTTTTGATAAATCATTTTCATTCTTTTTATATGTCTTAATCTAAATAAATATTCAAGTAAAAAAAAATCTAAATTAGTATAGGAATATCTATTGTGAGCATTGATATTAAATTATTTGATGTTATGTTGTATCATGAAACTTATTAACTTAGAATTAACTTAGAATATTTAGTTTTATTTTTAAGTTATGTAGCAATTTTATATTTATTTCTTCAATTTATGTTATTATATATAATTTTTTTAATTTAATTATTACGTCATCAGTTTAACTGTAAGTCCAACTTGTTGTAATAGCGAAGCCAAGACCTGGATTCAAGGGGTGCAAGGCAACTTAATTTAAAATCAATCATTTAAAAAATAATATAATAATTTTTAAAAATAATTACATTAGACAAAAAATATAATAACATAAGTAAAATTATGCATATTTTTATATAGGAAAAATATATTGAAGATTTGTTTGGGCGAAATTGTGTTAAAAAAGTTGATAAAGAGTTTTAGTTTGAAAGAAAAGAAATCTTTTACCCAAAAATATGGCTTAATTTGATGTAGTTGGATTTTATTATTTAAAATTATAAAACTATGGTATAAGATTGTAAATTTTACACACCATGCAATTTTCTCCATTGCTTACATGCATGCGGCTCCACCACTTACTGGTTGGACTATACAAATCATGAATTGCTAACATTTTCAATTTAACGTATAAAAGACAATCTTCCATGAACAACATTTTGTCATGCATCTTTGACAAATGAGGAAAGGACATTTATAGGAGATATGGCATAAGTGAAGTTTTGGCAATTTTTTGTTTATTTTTTGCTTTTTTTTTTGGGCCGGAGTGGGTGAGGACAACTGTGTGCTTTGAATATATGTGGTTGATCGTTGCAATTTTTTACTTTTAAGACAAGGCCACCTTAAATCCAACAATGGAAAAGCTAGTCAATAACACTTTGCTATGAAGAGGTCTTTTAATTTAATTTATCAATTAGAATCATCCCTAGTAAATGAATAATTGAGATTGAGAGCTTTGTAGTTATATAAATTTTTTTATAACGTGGTTTAAAACATAGTTGGATTTAAAAATAGTTTTAAAACATATCACAATGTTTTTCCAAACTCCTTAGCCTTTCAACTTTTTAATTGCTTATAGGTATACTCCTATTGGGAGTAATCTTATTTGAGGTATAGTAGAGCACTAAATGTTGGCACTTTTTTTAGCAGGAGATTTGAACCTTAACTTGCCACCTTATGAGGGATTAACATTTATCACTAGATTAACCCCTGTTGGTAACTCCTTAACCTTTTCAACATGTGAAAATATCTCATTCCCAAGTTATTTTTGGCTCTAGAAGCTTTTTAATGCATCAACCTATCTTCTAACATATGAAAATGTTTTTGAAAATATTTTTTTAATACAAGATCATGAAAATTTCGTGTAAAAAGACAAAAATCAAGTCATGTCTGAAACCATAACGTTTCTATAGTCCAGTGATGGATAGTCTAAAATCATAATACCAAAGTTATCTTAAGATGCCTACTAAGCAAGCAGGTCAATGTATTTATTTGCTTTTCTATAGACAAGTCAAAGGTGGTCACTCAGTCTTTTATAATGAGATCTTTGATTTTCTTAATAATTTCGAAGAGTAGGTTCCTATTTGAGTTGTTATGCTCAATGAGTGTTAAATCTTATATGAAATCAAAGTAGACATTGATTTAGAGAGCTTAGTGCCACAACAAAGATTAAGACCTTCCAAAACCCTTATACATTTAGTTGTTGTGCTAGGGTTGAAGGAATATTAAACATAGATAATAAATCAAATAATGGACTCAGGTTAGAATCTTACTAAATGTGGGCACAGTAGAATCTACTCAAATACCCACAAGAGTTTAGACTACTAGAGTTTAAACTAAAGTGTACAACAAATGTATCGAAGAGAGAGAGGGAAAGGAAGAATAAACACTAAGAGAGAACCCATGAAAAAACTCTAGGTTGAGTTCTTCCTTCAACCATCCTCCTTTATTTATAGTAAAGAGAGGCCACCATAGGAAAAAAAACCTAATCGATATTAAATTGCCTTGTTGGAATAACTTATTGGAATAATCACTATGATTTCCAAGGAATATTTCTTATTTTGAAATTCAATCAAAAATCAATCTCGCATTAATTCTTGATTTCGATCAATAATCATGATTTTTGGAATAATATTAGATCCCCTAATTACTCTAACATAATGGATTGATTCCCATTAAGGGTAGATCTATAAATTCCAACATCTCCCACTCACATTTGATAGGACTACCATCATGCAAACTTTATCTCCTTTGCTTCATACTTGGCGCTTTGTCGTGACTGTGTGGGCATGGCATATTTGATTTGGATGTTTGTGTACTAGAAATCCTATCATAGGATTGGCACACAAAGACATCCTATGTTATAAGTTGCCTCAAGTAATGTAACATCTGAAGTTTTTAGTTTGAAATTTATTACTAATTAAGGGAGAAATTTATTAAAAAAAGATTAATTAAGTTAATTCTATTTTTTAAGTTGTTAATTGGCTTTTAAGTCATATATGACTCTAAATTAGGCTAACATGGAAGTTAGATTAGATCGGAATGGATCGAGGGGAGAAAAAGTGAGATTTTGCTCTCTACATCATGTGCTATGTCATGTGTGCCCTGCGCTATGGCACACGGCACAACCCTGACAGTTAAAGTTGTAAAATCATTAGAAAGAGGCAGAATTGGTTAAGGGAAAACACAAGCTCAAAGGAGAAAAGTTTGACCACTACTAGGGCTTCAATTTAGGGAAATTTGGAAGCTAATTTGGACTTTCAAACTCTTGGGTAAGTTTCCCACTTCTCTTTACTATCTCTACATCTCATTTTTCATGGATTTTGCAATTGGGTAAATTTGCTCTAAATTGATGAAGCTATGAATCTATATTTTTAAAGATTTCAAGTGCCTCTAAAAGTTGATTTAAGTTTCTTAACCTTGGATAAGTATTAATATGAAGCTAGATGTTAATTGGAATGAGTTAGATCAAGCTTCATTTGAAGTGTGACAATTTAGGATATTAAGTGATATGTTATGATAGAGTTAGAGGGAAGCTTGAAGGATTGTGTGAATTAGTTGTAACTTTGACTAGCTTCTTTGTTGAGAATAGGAGTGAAAAGAAAGAGAAATTGGGGTGGTATAGGTAGTTAATAGTGCTTGTGTTAATTGAAAATTAACATATAGTACTTGTTATTGTAAATTGAGGTGTGGGTTGTAACATCTTGAAAAATTTAACTTAAAGGCTAATTGGGTTAT